ACTCTCAGAAATGTTTTGGCCACTCAAATTTGGGTCGCGACCCATAGGTTGAGAAGCAGGGTTGTAAAGGCCTATTCATTGTTATTCATATTGCATTATTGTATATTGTTCATATTGCATTATATATAATATGTTCGTGTTTCTTGCACTTTCTTCTTGTAGGAATAAGCATCTCATTCCATATAATTATGGAATTGATAAAACAATTTTGAACAATTTGTTATCATTTTTCGCAATACACTGTCTTATCCACATTATTAAAAAAAATAATTGTGATTTGGTCATTATTTTTGGTCATAATACTATTGTCTTTGTCCAAATATCATTTTAACATAGGCCTATGTAATGATTTTCTGGGCCATCGATATAACAAGGCCTTCGTGCTACAGGGAGGCCCATATCTAATTTATGAATAGGCTAATTGTTATGGTCTTGTTTTCTTGTGTCATACAGGTATGAATAGGATGTCCTGTAAAGGTCATACTCTTCCCAAAAATTGTCTTATTTAATGGAGAGTCCTTAATAAACATTCCCCTCACTCCCTCAACACAAGGCGACCAAGCCGGCCATGGCGGAAGATATCTTTTTGGTCCGTTGTGAAAATTTGCTAATAACAAAACACGAAAGCATGTGTCTCATGTCGGCGATGATAGTTTTAACAACCCAAGCTCTAAATATTGGTCTAGGCGTATTTAGGTTTTTTTTTTTAAATTATCATGTTATCTTTATGTACCGGCACTTTTACTTATGAGTATCATTATTCAAGCCCCAAAAAGCTTGACTGGAAGCAGGCCCGTAGCCAGTTCTTCCAAGGTGGGGGGGGGGGGTTCCTGGGCGTGAGTTCCACAGTCGAAGCCCCGGTGGGGTCGGCGAAACCCCCAAAGCAAAAGGAGTTTTGTGCTTTATGGGTCTAAATAATGCTATAAAAGCAGATATGTTTGAAAATGTCTGTGTCTGGGTGGGTCTGTAGTGCATTAGTTGGGGTTGGATGACTTATTTGGGAAATTTAAAGAGGGGGTTTCGCCAGAAAAGAGGGGGGTTTGCTAGAAAAGGGGGTTCTCCCGAACCATAAAACCCCCCTTGGATACGGGCCTGGGAAGAGCGTTCTGTGGAAGCAAATTAGTCCTCCTTATAAATTATTGTAATTTAGAAAAAGTTCGATGTAGACTACATTCTATAACTCCTTACAGGCAGCCTAATGTATTTATTACCGGTACTTCAATAACAGAATAATAATGATGCTGACTGTATACAGCATAAGAATAATATGATCATTTAGTTTGTCACACACACATGGAATATACTTGCATCAAGAACGGGTCGTTATAATCGGGGCTAGTATACCACAAATCACATATACCAGAGAAATGTATTTACAAGTATAGAAGAGCATAATCAATACTTACAATGTTGAAATTATTGTCCAGAAGGTTATAGTGTACTCCTAATGTTTGTTTACATTTCATTAGCTCTTCAATGGATCTGAGAAGCACAGCGTAGCTGAGACTCGCGGGTAGTACATTATTTCTCCTTTTTTTAAATCATCAATCGTAAAACATGTATTTATGACCAAAACATAACTGGTTTATGAAATTTAAAGTAATGTGTATGCATTCCAAAAAATGTCATTTTTGGGGAAATTTGTAGACACTGTGTATTTAAATGCATTGTTGCTTTAGATGCACAATTTTTCTTATCTTATAATTTACATTTGATTTCTATACTTTTATACCGCTTTGTATATATATATATGAATAAACAACTTTACAAGCCCACGTGACCGTTCGTAGACCGCAAGTTTCGATTTTTACCAGGAAGTGTATACTGAGTAAAATCATTCACGCGTTAATTGGAGCACTCGCAGAATAACAGCACTCGCATTTTACTCGTGAAACACACACACAATACACGCGTGTAATGTCGAATGTTCGGTAATCAGTACTGTGTATATATATATATATATATATATAGTTAAAAGGCAAATGGGGAAAACCCCATTAAACGACAAACAGCCATATAATGCAAAACAATTTAAAATTAAAATTAAAACCGAACAGTAGAGAAAATCCGATCACAATGACAAAATAAACTAAGCATCCATTGGAAGGAATCCCAATAATTGTGTACAAAAATAACATCCTAAATAAATTGCCAGAAACGCTAAATGAATCTTTTTTAAATATTTTTTTTTGTTTTTATAAAAGATTCACAATCAAACCCTTCATGGACATATGCAATTTGTTAAGCCTACAAAAACGTGCTGCTTATTGTTAGAAATAATTTTGTTTTTATTACCCTTGGTGAAAGAAGTTTCAATGGACCTTTCCGCTAAGCCACGCCCCTTGGATATTGTTACAAGGTGACAATGTTAAAACATAGGCGAACACGTGCGTTAGTGGGACAACACGTGTGTTTGTGAGACGCGCGCGTATTCCTAGCGCTGTTCTGATTGGTCAGTTGTTAAGTTTGATTGACACTCCGGAAAGGTCTATTGTGCTGCTCCCACACTATGGAACAATCTTCCGGCTGAACTAAGGAGCACAGCTACCATTGTCATGTTTAAAAACAAACTTAAAAGTTATTTATTCCGCAAAGCTTTTCATCATCTTACTACTCAAGTGAATTCTACTTAACCATTAATGATTTATTGCAGACATAATTATATTGATGACATTTGCAGTAATAAACTGACCTGTGAAACTTGTAGACAATTGTAATTTTATATTTATTTTTTGAATTGAATTTTGGTACATTTTGAGATATTTTTATTGGTATTCGAATAATAATTGTTATTGGATTAAATATTAAATTTTATGTAATTGTAAATTGTAATTTATTGGTTACCATAATTTGTAATTAATTTCAATGATTTTAATATTGTAATTGTTTTAATTATCTTTCCTTTTAATTGATTATCATTCAATATTGTAGATATTGGATTTTAACTTTTAATTGATCTGTATTGTATTGTAATAATTCTTAATTATATATTATAGCTTTTTAGGTAATTAACAATATTTAATTTTTAACTGAATTTTCCAATTTTAATTATTTTAACAATGTAATTTATTATAAGTATATTTTTGTAGTTTCTCTATATAATAATTTTTAATCTGATTGTATAATGCTGCCTGTTTTTATTATATTTTATAAATTTTTATGTAAAGCGTATTGAACAGTATTCTGAAAATGCGCTACTTAAATTCATATTATTATTATTATTATTATTAATTTTCATGGAATCGACCTCATTAAACAAAATAATTGGAACTTGATGAACGTAGAGATTACGCCCTAGCATGTTTAATGTATAAATGTATGTTATTGCAGCTTCCCACTTATGCAATGATGTTGAAATGGATATATCCACTAACTTAACTTTATTTTTAGAAGTGATCTGCATCTGTTTGCCCTCTCCATCACTGGCTTTAGTCTTTTTTGTAATTTGCATTGTCAGTGTAAAATAAAAATAAAATAAATAAAATAAAATAAAACCTTGTAATTCCTGCCCCCGAAAACTAGACTCAGAAATATAGTTTACACCAAGGTTTTTACTATTTATGTATTTTACATTGTATTTTGGTTGCCTTAAGGCCAACTCAGACAGCGTCGGCCGACGCAGCCCGACGCGATTTGTTGTCGCGTCGGGTCTGTGTGAGTTGAACGCAGAAGCGATGGTGTGCGTCGGGGGCAGTCGCGTAGTAGAATATTAAACGTGTTTAATATTTCTCACGACGGCTTAAGACTGTCCCCGACGATAAATCGGGTCGGGCTGGGTCTGCCGACGCTGTCTGAGTTGGCCTTTATTGTTTGTTGTTTATTGTAGTGATATTGCAGGACCATATTGTAAAACAGCGTTAAGATCTCGTCTGTTTTATGTTTTCCTGTCTAATGTTTTAAATAAAACTTAAATAAAATATAGATGGAAAATAGAGAGAAAAAGAATAGAAAAGACAGAATGAGCGCAGCACGGTACCGTAAGCCTGCTTGTCAAAACTCAGTTTGCCAAATGCCAGATTTGCCGACCCAGAATATTACGTTCTAAGAACTTATAATAACGTTACAGTTTGGTAATAAAACATTTATTTTGTAGAACCATATGTACGTACAGTAGGGCCTACTTTTTTTTTTTACAACGTTTTAACGTTTTTACAACGTTGTGTGAACGTTATTTTGTGACATACCAACAACCACAACGATCGCGAACGTACGTTTTGTGTTTGCTGGGGAGTCCTCTTTGCCGAAAACCGGTTTTCTGAATGTCAGTTTGCTGACTCAAAAACTTTGAAATTCCATTTTGCTAAAACCCAGTTTGCCGAAAGTTAATGAGAAACAATAAATTTAACAACATTATAAAATTCAAGAAATTATCTTACCATTAATGCATGCATATGTAGACCTACAAAGTGGTGGCGTCAAATTGTGTATTACCAAATCATAAATATCGGATTATTGTAATGATTCTTGTTGTCGTATTTTGTAAATCATCTTCATTAACAATTCAGCAATCAGCAATACACACGTACGTGCCACTGTCTTCAAAAACTTGCCAAACCAAGGGGCCGACTAGAGCCACGGTCAGGGCCCGGGCATAAAAAGATCCCTGGGTTCACCGGCGGGGAGATTTTTATAAGGGCATGGCCCGAATTGTGCTTATTAGACCATAATTTATAAGGGATTGGCAGCAGTAAAAGTAGCGTTATTTGGATAGGCAAATTATTATTATTTTTAGTCTCGAACGATCTCGCCTTGTGGCCGTCGGAAAGAGGAATGATACACGATGCTTAATCCTTCATTTCATTTAATTTCTAATTTTAACTGATATCCATGCCTTAACATTTGTTGTTTTCCAGTATTTTGCCATTTAATTTACCCTATTTTTTCGAATAATGTTTTTATTTTATTGTTGAAGTATCGGAACAAGGAAAACAACTAGGAATATATATTGTAAAGTTTCAAGTTAATTTCTTAATATCATGATGATGATGATGATGTTGCTCTGCTCACGCATGCGCAAACAATAAGGAAAATAAATGGCCGCCGTCTGTGTTCATAGTAGTAAGGCATCATAACAAACACGTAAGCCTGCAAGAGAAACTGCTGCAAAATATCTCTGTAACGTCATTTTATTGTACAGATTAATGTTTTAGCTAAAGGAAATATGTATGATGATATTACAGAATCAGAGGAAAGCGAGTTGTTGGACTGGCAGCTGCCACTCGCCTTCATGAAAAAGAGACACACCGAGGCGATAACAGGAGGCAATGTAGTGACCCAGACATGGCGAATGAAGGAGCGGGTGAGTCAACCAAGCCCAGCCTAGGGGCTAGGCCTAGCCAGGAAAACAGTATGGAATCAAAAGTTCGTTGTACACATACACTTACACTTACAGATTAATGGGTTTTAATTGGCTTTATCATTTTATACCCCGTTGTCAATGCCATAAAACCAATTTGTAATATTATTACTAGGCCTAGGCCTAGAGTAGGACACGGAGGACGACGCGGTCCAAATGAACTACCCACATCAAGATATTTTTTATAAAGTCCTAGGCCTAGTAGGCCTATGCCAAGCTAGGCCTTGGTCTGTAGGCCTAGGCGTACATCAAGGTATTTTTTCAAAGTCAGGACCAATGAAGCTTCCACCACATAGGATAGGCCTATGCTGGTAATTTATTTCAAGTATCTACAATTTGCTGCGAAAAGAAATATTTTCTAATTATTCAAATTCTTGTGAAGGTGTTTTTTTTTTTTTTAAATTTTGAATTTATGTTCATGTGTTCTTTCGTCCTGTGCCAATACAAAGAAATTTTTGTAGGCCCATCCTAGGCCCTATCTTATCACGGCCAGCCATAATTTTGAAAAGTTTGATAAAATCACCTCTCATCTGCCTCAATTTGGGAGGATATAAATTAAGTTCCTTTAGGCATTGCTCACACTTATTCTGTAATGTATTATTATTCTTTAGTTCGTTTTACTATTATTAAGCTCTTGTTATGTATGCTCATGTGTGTGGAGAAGAAATAAATTAAAAAAACTAACAAAAATACTGCTGATTGTCTTGATGATTTACAATTTGCAATCCAAACCCCAAGATCTTTCTCAATATCAGTGTCGCTGATATCATCAGCATAAATTCTGAGAAGAAGCACAGTTATTTGACGCTTGAGTTTAAGATCATAATTATTTTATATATAAGAAAGCCCTATTCTATTCCAAAGAAATGATATGGTTATTGCTTTCTTTATTAAAAAATATTTTTTTATGGAAAATATTAATAATTATTATGGTAGACCTAGGCTAGGCCTATCTCAACTTGACGCAGGGTTCCCGAAACGCCGCCCTCAGCGGCGAGTACGAGGCACAACTCAGGGTCAAAAGTGGAACGTCAAATTTGGATATGGTTTTGTAGTCAGATTTGCGAGAAAAAATTCAGCTACCCGTATTTCTCGACTGAGATGTCAGTGGGAGCTGTAATTTGTATGGCAAGGAGATTGAGCAACCCTTCATTCATATTAAGGGGATTTACGCCCAGAAACTTTGTAGTTATTAATATTTTGGTTATAATAGAAAATATTCATTTTTTGGTGACGTCACACTCACATTAGTTAGCATGCATACGTCATAGCTACTGTAGATACGTCACCTTTTCCTGGAAAGGCAAACTTTCCCGGCGTGCTTTTATGGATCAACAAACACCACTGCTTTGCACATGGATGCCTTTGCCCAAGCCAGGGCTAAGAGCCGCATTGTTAGCATTGTATAATTCTTTAAATAAGGTACTGTACCTCTGCAAATGAATTATTCTTAGTTATTTTTTTTTCATATTTTAATTTATTTCTTCCGAAAGTATACTTTCTATCACATATAATTCCACTGTCTTAGTTAAGCCTAGTCTTATGCCTCATTGTCCCCCGCTACACAGTACATCAGCAGCCCCTCCCCCATACAGTACAGACGTTTGCTAGGTAACAACGGGATTGCACCTTCCTTCCCAGGTGTTCATGTAACATTGACATAATTGTATAGCTAACCAGTTTTGTGTATTTCTTTGTGAAAATGAGTACCGCGGCGTACTCATTTTCACAAAGCATTTGCATCCCCTCTTGGAAAGAGGGATTTGAAATAATTGTCTCCATATCTTCGCTAATTAAATTAATCACCGTAATTAAGCTTACACTTATGAATTTAGGGAGCACTTAAAATGTGAAATAATCATTTCACTACCCGACAAACTCCGAACTTTATTCATTCGTTAGGCCTACATAATAGTTTTGTATTGCTGTACTATATACTCCAACATCACTGGCGCATGGTAACAACCAACTGACTGCAGACCATTTCCGGTCACACATTACTCTCCATAACACAGCAACCACTAGTTCCGTCACCTCTGGGTAAATGCATGCATTCCTTTGTTGTATTAACCAGCTAGGCATACTGTATATGACCAAGCTATTATGTAAATACTGTAAGTAAATAAAATTATATTATATATTATATTTTGGCATGAGCCGTGACTCATGAGCATATAGGCCTAGGCCCTAACTAGGATTAGGACAATCTTATTTTTGCTAGAATCAAGTGCTATGGTATAAATAAACGATTCTGTAGTGTACCCTCTTTTTTTATCACTCTGTCAGCTTAATTAGTAACTAAAAACTTCATTCAGTATCATCTGGTCAAGCTTGCTTGGGATTGATGATTGATTACTTCCTTCATAACCATAATGTAAAGTATTTTTATTTTGTAGGGGAATACGTAAAAACTAGCTCAAATTTGCGTGGAAAAATGCAAGAAAAATAGGTGTGCAGAATCATAACTGCTGCATAATTGGTTATGATTAAGAAACACTGTAGACCGAGGCCTAATTTTCAGCAAAATTTGTGCGGGACTCTGTCCTTTCAAAAATGCATTGTCTGGATTTCTAGTTCCGAATTTTTGTGCACAGGATTGCAGGGCTTCTACAGTATGGGTTCATACCACACTTTAATCCATAATATGTTATTTTTCATTTTTTAATAAATCACAAAATCATAAGCCATGTTGAATGAATTGTAGCATCCTTTTTAAAACATATATTATAATTTACATTAATTACCATTTATAAATTGTTAAAGCTTTCCTGTTTTGTTGCCTGTTCCTCTGCCATCCTCAACAGCAAAGTCATTGAGAGTACACAGGCCCACCAAGGATGTACTGTAGTGGAGGTTGGCTGGGGCCATTCAGAAGTTTTCCACCTAATCTAAAGCTGATCTCATGGCCCTCCACCCACCCTTATTAACCCACTTTTCCCATCCTTAAAATCCACTCAATTATTAGTTACTGTAGAGCTTGTTAATGCTTACAGTACAGTCGTGAAATATTGCACTTTTACCTGCGCGCAGGCTTCGTAGATACATCGTAGCCTGATATAAACAATCTAACCTGCGCGCAGGCTTCGAAGCCTGATATAAACAATCTAAGCAAGGCTACGCGAAGCGAACCTACGAAGCAAAAACATGTTGTTTATTTGTATGTGCAGAAAGACTGCTGCAGCTCACTGGAATAAACAATGTATTGTTTGATAATTTGTGAATGGCAAACACGAGTTTAGACCGTAAATTTAAACTCGCTGTCCACGACAGGAACTTGTTTGTACTGCTGTATTATTTTTTTTAATTAATTAGCCTAGGCCTAGCTTATTTTTTATTTACAATTATTTTACCTTATTTAAAATGTCAAAAAACGATGTCCTCAATGACAATACACACATGTGAAAAGATTGTTCATCAAATAATATTTTGTAGTCTTGATTTAGTAAGATAAATAATAAATATAAAGGAGAATTAACGTCCGTTGGTTGTAAAA